GAGAAACTGAGGCTCAAAATGGTTCAATGACTTGCCCACGGTTACTCAGCTGGTGAAGTCGCCATTCAAACTCAGCTCTGTCTGGCTCTGACTTCCCTGCATGGTCCTTCCCACCCACAGACCACCTCTTACCCAGGGAGCTCAGATGAGCAGACAAGGGGACAAGACGCTTTTCTGAAAGCTCCACTCTTTCCTAAGGTATTTCTATTGGAATGTCAGAGTGCCTTCATTCCTGTGAATTCTTTCTCATTGGTAGTGTGAACTCCTGTGCCAGACATTGGTTGGGGGTGGGGGATGGTGGGAAGGACTAATAATAATAATAATAAAAATAACAGAAGCTAATGTTTATTGAGCACTTGCTGTATGCATGCTTCTGGTCTAAGTGCTCTATAGTAAATACAGTATCTCAGAGAATCCTCACTACAATTCTGTAAGACATGGTATTATTCAGTCCAGTTTACAGCTGAGAAGACTGAGGCACAAAGAGGTATGGTGACTTGTCCAAGGTCAGATGTCAGAGCCAGGATTGGAACCCAGAGCCACTGTGCTGTGTGTAGGAGATCTGGGTGATGACTGACTTCGAAGAGTAGTTTAAGTAGCATGGGTGTGCACAGAGGCACACACACACAGCAACCAGTGAGGGTACAGGTGAAGCTGAGCCACGGTGTCCGGGAGTAACTGGAGTAGTGCAGGGTGGATTAGGGAAGGGTTCCTGGTGGAGATGGGATGTGTGGCAGGGCTTAAAGGATGTGAGAGATACAGACCATGCCCAACAGTGTGGGGCCCTGGAGCAGGACTACCCGCAAAGAGTCACCCACATGACCTGAACATAGTAGGTGTTGAATAAGTGTTACTGGATGATGGGTGATAGCACCACGGTGGTTGTGATGGAAGTAGCAACAGGGGAGGGAGTGGTCTGGTGGTGCTGGTGGCAATGGTAGCTATGTCAGTGCTGGAGGAAGTAGCGATGATGGTGTGACAGTGGAGGTGTTAGGTGGTGTGGGTGATGAAGGTGAGAATGGAATTAGCAATAAAGGCAAGAACATAGACACCTTTTACTTTACCATCCTGTACAATCCTTAAGAGCAGACACCAGCCTCACACATTCTTAATCCTCACAGCTGCCTTCATGTGGTATCCTCATTTTACAAAGGATGACACTGAACCACAAGCAAGTCAGATCCTGCCTGTGCAAGGTCATAAGGCCAGTAAGTACCAGAAACCCGACTGGCTCAGGCTTTCCGCCTTCAGGGCCAGTGGCTCTCAGCTTCCTCCCCACTCAGAGGGAGGGCAGTGTCATGATGCCATGGGTGGGTATTAAGGCAGAGGGCATGCTGCACTCCCAACACAGCAGGCTCAGCTGTGCTCTGTTTGGAGGAGTGGGGTGGAGCAAGACTGAGTGACAGCAAATGCAGTTCTAATCCTGGCCCCACCACCCATGTGCTGTGTGACCTTCTCTGGGCAGTGGCCAGGGTAGATGTCAGCTGCCAGGTGACAGCAGGCCTGCCGGGCAGAGCCAGTGGAGCCTGGCAGGAGCCACACACACCAAGGGGATGAAGTCAGGGGTGAGAAATAATCCTGGAGTCAGAGGAAGGCTTGCTCGGGGTGACATTCCTGGAAAGCTCTGTTCTGATTGGCTTGAGATTGGGGCTTCTACATAGGCCTTTCCAGTCAGGAACAGGTTTATTAATAAACCCTGTCTCTGCCCCTTGCCCTCACCCTGGAGAAAAGGCAGGGCTTCCTGGGGCTCCTGGGGTGGTGAGTTCCATTGAGGGGGCAGGGACTGAGCCCTTTAATGCAGTGCAAATGCCCTGTAGCTCCCAGACTACATGCTTCTGCCATAGACTCGGGGGCTTAGGAGAAATGCCAACAGGAGTGGGTGGCATGCATGTGAGCACATGAGTGTGCAAGCATGCATGAATGTCTGCACGCATAGCGAGGTGTGTACACATGAGTTCCTGAATAAGGTTATCATGGTAATAATGGACTGCTGGGGGCTCCTGGGTGTATGGGTATATATGGATTGGCCTGTAAGAATGTAAACCTACGCCAGGTGCAGTGGCTCACACCTGTAATCCCAGCAATTTGGATGGGCAAGGCAGGATGACCTCTTGAGTTCAGGAGTTCAAGACCAGCCTGGGCAACATAGTAAGACCCCTTTCTCTACAAAAAAAAAAAAAATTGTTAAATTAGCCAGGCATGATGACACATGACTGTGTTCTCAGCCACTCAGGAGTCTGAGGCCAGAGGATCGCTTGAGTCGGGAAGGTCAAGCCTACAGTGAGCTAAGACTGTGCCACTGCACTCCAGCCTGGGTGACAGAGTGAGACCCTGTCTCTAAAAAATAAAAATTAAAAGAGTGTAAACCTGTGTCTCTGCTGCTGGTGAGTACATTCTTCGTGTGCCCTTGTGAGCACCTAGGTGATGTGTGGGTGGTTGTGGGAGGAGGACTGAGTCTGAGGGTTGCCAAGGCCCTCCCAGGCACTCACCTCTGCAGCTCATTATCACTCAAAGCCTAAATTTACTGCATCTGCTCCCCCACCCATGGGCTCTGACCTCATTAGGCCCCTGCCCCTTTCCTCAGACAGTGGGGCTGGGAAGGAGGGATGGCTCCTTTATCTGCAGTGTGGTATCCGTTGAGGGAGGAGGGAAAGTCCTGGGGGCAGGGGCAGGGGAATGCCAGGGCACGGAACTTAATATAGGCACCGGGCAGGCCGAGGAGGATGTCGTATCCTATTACACCTGTCACCTGGCCCCCATCACATGATCAGCTCTTGCTGGTGAGGCATGGGCAGAGTAAGGAGCACCTACTCCTGGACATTGCAGGAGGCCGCCCTCCACCCTGCCCCCTCCACAAATGGAGCCCTTCTCCCAGCTGCTCCTCCTGGGAAGGGCAGGGTCCAGCCAGGCCTCTGCTCAGTGTGGCTCTGGCATGGATCGGCTGGGTGGTCCTGACCCCCAGTGGACCCGGTCAGGAAGGGAGGGAAGATGTGGGGACCTCCCACTGACCTCAGCACAGCCACCAAGGGACAGCTTCCTTTGTTGCATACCCTCCCCCACTTCCCTCTTGACCCTCAGAATCATGGCCCCACACTATGGCATTCCTGTAGGCAGAGCCCTGGGCTAGAACCAGGGGCGACAGCCAGGGTGAGAAAGAGCAGGGGTGGCCAAGTCAGCAGCCCCTTCCAGACCCTCCAGGAGACCAGTGTGGATGCTGGCAGGTTCAAGGCCAGCTCCTCCTCTAAGCCCCTCCTAGATAGGGCTCAGACTGAGGGGAGACACAGCCCTGACTCAGGGAGCCCCAGTCTGAGGGGAGACGCAGCCCCGTCCTCAGGGAGCCCCAGTTGGAAGGAATGATCATGCCACTTGTCCTCTCTTGAGTTTTTTGTGTGACCCTGGGGGTTTTACTCAATATCTCAGAGCCTCTGTTTTCTTGTCTGTGTAATGGCAACACTGCCACACACCTCAAAGATGTTTGGTTCATGCCAGTCAGATCACAAAACCTGAGTAAATGTAGCTGTTCTTTTTCATTTGGAGTTTTCTTGTGGAAGAAATCACCGCATTTAGGCTTTCTTTGGAGAAGCCAAATGCAGTGGGATCTCGTGCACCTCCCATTCCTCTCCCAAAGACTAATGTCTTAATGGTCTGGCTGTCTTGACATCCTGGCCTTCCCAGGCAGCCCCAGGCTGGACATTTAGAGTCAACAAATATTATGGAAAGTCAGTCATACAAGAGGCCCCAGGCCCGAGGACACCAGTGCAGCAGGGGTTAAGGCAAGCCCTGCAGCCACCGCCCCCCCCAGGCCAGTTCACTGTAGAGCTATGGACGAAGAGGGAGGAAGGTCCCTCTCACTAGCTACCCGCCCCAGGCCACTGGTCTGTCGACCTGGGGGACCCTCGACAGCTTCAGAGACTGGCTTCAGGGGACCTGGGGGATATACCTGCTCAAACCTGCAACTGCGAATGAGGATGGGAAGCTGCCAAGAGGTATACGTGTGCGTGTGTGTGTGTGTGTGTGTCTCCAGCCCCGTCACAACTGAAGAGTGGAATTCCCTCCCACATGCACTGAACGATGACACCACACATGGCTGTCCCAGAGACCAAGCCTTTCTGTGGCCTAGAGGGTCCAGACTGTAGCTATAAATGCCCCCAGAAAACAGTCTGGTGGCTTCTGGTCATTCACTTCTTTGGTACTTTGTAAAATTTACTTCTTACTGAGATGTCAGATTTGTGCATCAAATTGTACAAGTCGTAAGGGTGCAGCTTGGTGAATTTTATATAATGCCCACATAACCACCACCCAGTACAAGCGCAGAATGTTTTCAGCACCCCAGGAGGCTCCCTGTAGCCCCTCCCAGTCAATTCCACCTTCCAGAGGTCACCACTATTCTGACTTCTGTCCCCACAGATCTGCTTTGCCTGTTGGTGAATCTCATGTAAATGGAATCACAGTGTATGCACTCTTTTGTGTCTGCCTCGTGCTGTGCAGTATTATGTCTGTGAAGTTCATCCATGTTGCTCAAGTAACACCAGGTTTTCCTTTTGTATTGCTGTGTAGTATTCCATTAAGCGGATATGCCATGGTTTATGTACCTATTCTGGGACATTTAGGTTATCTCCAGTTTTTAACTAATATGATGCAAGCAGACACAGTATTCCTGTACGTTTTCTGGTGCTCCTAAATATGACAACCCAAATCTTGAGAGCAGATTTTGAGGGCAACACGTGGTTAAGAACTCCAGGGAAGAGGAATTAAAAATGACTGAACTTCTGCTCTGGGCCATGAGCTTTTGTGGATCCACTGGACCAACCACAAAGGAAGGATGACAGAGAAAGAGTAGCTCCCGAGGGGAACTCCTCTGAGCTCATCACTGAGCCTGGAGCCAGCCATGTGTGTGTGTGTGTGTGTGTGTGTGTGTCTGTGTGTGTCTGTGTGTGTGTGTGTGTGTGTGTGTGTGATTGGATTTGTTGCCAGGGATGCCATAACACAGTACCACAGACTTGGTGACTCAGTAGTTTAAAACAATAGAAATGTATTCTCGCACAGTGAAGGGGGCCAAAAGTCTGCAATCAAGGTGTTGGCAGAGTCTGTTTCTTCTGGAGGCTCTGATGGAGATTGTTCCATGCCTCTCTCCTTATTTCTGGGGGCTTCCAGCACCTTGGTATTTCTTGGCTTGCAGCTGCATCACTCCAATCTCTGACTCCATCATCACATGGCCTTCCGCTCTGTGTCTCCATGTCTCTGTTTTCAAATCTTTTTCTCCTTATAAGGACACCAGTCACTGGATTTAGGACCCACTCTAATCCAGTAAGAGCTCATCTTAATTTGATTACATCTACAAACACTCTATTTCCAACTACGGTCACATCCCCAGGTACTGGGGGTTAGGACTCTAACATATCTTTTTAGCACGGGGGTGGGGGGCACAATTCATCCAACAGCAGTGATTATAACTCTGTGTGTGTGTGTGTGTGTGTGTGTAAGACTGTGAGTGCGCATGAGTGTGTGTGTATTCATGTGTATACAAGTGAGGGGTAGTGAGTGTGTTGTGTGCATGTGCTTGTGAGAACATGTCTGCGATGGTGTTTCTGGGTGTGCTTATGCGGCTCTGGGCATGTGTATATGAGCACGTGTGTATACATGCTTCTTTTTCCATGACTTGGAGACCCTGCTGGATGAGCTGAGAAGGGCAGCGAGGCAGGACGGTGGCAGCAGGTTGAAGAGGTGCTTGGGGCCAGCCAGGTGAGCAGGCAGGCCTTGCCTCATGAATCTGGAAGAGCAGCTGGTGGTTACAGACTCTGAGAAAGAAGGACAAGGATATTTGTTGAGTTGGGGTAGAGGCTGGTAGGCCCAGGCAGTAGCTCCTGTCAGTAGTGCCTGTTCCCAGGTCTTCTTCCAGGACTATTCCTAGAAGCCCCCTCCACCCATGCTCCTGACCCTTGCATCCCATTTGCCTGGACAGAGAGACACTGCCTGACTCCTCCTTTCCCAGGGATAAAAGTCAGCACTCACTTACCTATTGTGCCAGCCAGGTAGGGGCAGGGAAGGTAGCCAGCCCTTCCCTAGCCCCACCCCCAGTCTAGTCCAAAGGAGCACCCAATCACCCATCCCTATACCCTGCCATGCCTCTCAACCTGTATCCTCCACCTTGGCTGGGGCTGGACCCCAGAAATCAAAGAAAAACAGGGGGAGCACATGGTCAGTCAGGTAAGGTCCAGAATAAGGGCTTCTTATCTCCCTAGGGCAGCTCTCTTAGGCAAGCCCACCATCAAGTGAGAGGATATTGGGAAGGTCTCCCCATAGTAATGTCAGCTCAGGGCCTGCTCTGAGCCAGGTTATCTCATTTAAATTTCACAATCAGGCCAGGTATGGTGGCTCATGCCTATAAGCCCAGTATTTTGGGAGGCTGAGACAGGAAGATCGCTTGAGCCCAGGAATTCAAGACCAGCCTGGGCAACACAGCAAGACTCCATCTCTACAAAAGTTGTAAAATTAGCTGGGCATGATGGGGCACATCTGTAGTCCTAGCTACTTATGAGGCTAACGTGAGAGGATCACTTAAGCCCAGGAGGTTGAGGCTGCAGTGAGCCATGATTGCACCACTGCACTCCAGCCAGGGTGACAACATTAGACCGTGTCTCTAAAAATAAATAAATAAATAAAAATAAAATAAACTTGACAACCAAGTTCAAATGGTGTTCTCATTATTCCCATTTTACAGATGCAGTCACTGAGGCCCCAGGGAGTTAAGCGATCTGCCTAAGATTCCATGCCTTTGTTTATACATGTTGGAATTTTTCAGTTCTCTCTGGAAATCCAGATCCTCTGCCCCCACCCAGACTCAAACACAACTGCTCCCACCACGGCCCACCTGCGCACCCCACACATATCCTTGAAGTGCAGTCTTCCTCCCATCCTTCCCCAGGAAGATTCCCTGGTCTGTGGGGTAGCAAGTGTTGGGGTGGTCTCTCCTCCCCTCCCATGCTTCTAGATTCCTCTGTGGGGTCCCAATTTTGTTTTTTGAGTGGCAGCACGCTCACTGCCTTTTTGAGTACTGTATGCCAGTGGGCTTGCATGCACGCAGCTGGAGGAGGGCTGTGTGGGCATGAGGGGTGTCTGGACAAGTGGGCTTACTTGCCCACCTGGGGCACATATGGGCACGCTGCGGTGGAATATACATTGCCTAGGTTGTGACTGTGTGTGCCTAGGCACAGGCGAATGAGCCCATGTGGGTGTTCATGAAGGGCCTGCCCCCTGCATGTTTGGGGGTCTGAGTCCCCATTTCTCTCCCCTTCCCAAATAACTGCCACCAACTTCAGTTCAGACTCCTGGGCCCCAGGTAAGGGGCTGGTGAAAACCGCCTCTGACTGGGAACAGAGACACCTGAGTCTCAAGCCCCACCCAGGCTGCTAGTGCCCTTGAGCAGGCATCACCCCACCCAGGCAGCAGGAGTGTCCTCACCCAATGGGATAGGGTGACATGGGGGAGGAGGTTTGAAGCGGGGAGAAAGCAGCGAGGCTTTCAGCTCTCCAGATGGGAGGCTCATTGCCCTAGCACTCAGTAGGTTGTAGGGAAAGGGGACTGAGCCAGGACTTGGCACTGACTACAAAGGGTAGGGGGCAGCACCCAGCACTCCCACCGCGGCAGGCCAGGGGAGGGGCTGTGACGTTTGGTGGCCTCATGCAGCTGAGAGGAAGTAGCTAATTGCCAACCTGATGACTGGCGGCTGAGGAGTGGGGTGATGATGCCACTGGCAGAAGCAGGCGCCCTGGCCCAAGGAGGAGGCCCTTCAGTGATGGAGTGGGCCTGCATTCTGCGGAGGGTGAGACTGAGGTGGCTGCAGTCAAAGGAGAAGGGGGCAGGGGTTTGTTGAGGCTGTGACCGTGGGAAAGCGCTTCTCCAGGGCTTCCCTCAGCTTCAAGGGGAAAGAGTTCAGAGGCCCTGAGGGGATGAAGGGACTTGGGAAGGGGCTTCAGGGGGATGGGTTGGGGGGAAGGAGGTTCCTATTCTTGCTCCCCTTCTGTCTATGCTCCCCTAGTGTTCCTGTCTCTCCCCTCCCCCACCTTAGCCCCCTCTTTGGCCCCTGTGGCCAAAGCTGTTAAGGAAAGAGGGAGTGGACGAGGGTTCTTTTCACCAGAAGATCCCCAGGCACAAGCAGCCCACCTCACTGATGGTCAGAGCATCCAGAAGAAGTGGCGAGACTTCAGCTGTCCTCAAAGCAGGAAGAGAGAGTGTTTCTGGCAGAAAGAACAGCACAAGCAAAGGTTAGGCAGTGGGGTCTGGAGAGGCTGATGGAGGACTGGGACTTGGTTTCAATGGTTATGAGAGGAGGTGGGCGGATGTTCTGCACCAAGGGCCACACTGTCCTTCCCGGAAGAAACCAAGGGTACCCAGCACCCAGAGCTTCTCCCACATGCTGGCCACTGCCTCTGGCCCTGGCAGACCTGGCCCTCAACTGTCTGAGCAAGCCTCACAGGATGGGGACCCCACCTCCATTATTTCCAAGTGCATCAACCCCAAAGGACTGAAGCCCTGAGTCCCAATAAACAGGTCCCATCCATCTGTAGGCCAGTCAGCTGGGCCCCTAGCACCCCCTATGGGCAGTAAGCAACACTAATGGAGGAGGAGCCTCCAGCAGCCTGGGGTGGGGGTGGGGGTGGGGGTGGGAGAGTGAGGGGTGAGGCAGGAGACACAGACTTGCCCTCTAGGAAGCACACAGACCATGCCTCAGGAAACCCCAGTGTCACAGGTCACAGACACTGACCTTGAAGTGTTACTCTCATGGGTGAAATTTAGCCCCTGTCCTCAGGAAGCTCCCAGTCTGGTGGGGCCACATATAGTGCTCTCAGCTGCCTTCTTCAGGGTGAAATTCAGCATCTGGCTTCAGGAAACTCCCAGTGCAAGGGGAGAGACATGACCCCTGCCTTTAGGGATCTCTCAAATGGGGGAGATCCACTGGATTTTCGGGAACCATCAATCTGTTTCCAGACATGGATTAGACATTTCAGTGCCTCAAGGGCTGCCAGGAAAAACAAAATACAAGACATCCAATTAAATTGAATATCAGATAAACAACGAATAATAGTTTAGCATAAGTCTGTCCCATACAATATTTGGGACAGACTTATGCTATTTAAAGTATTCAGTTTAACTGGACCTCCTGCGTTTTTATTTGCCAAACCTGGTAACCCTAGGTGCCTCCAGTTTGAGGGAGGAGAGAGGACACCCCCTCCACCCCAGACGTGGGAAAGCAGGTAAACACCTCGGCGTGCTCCGGAGGGCAGGGGTGGAGCAGGAGGAGAGTCCTGGGGCTCCGGCTCGCGGCAGTTTAAAATTCCTTCCAGGCCAGAGCCCTAATCCCTCGGTGCACAATGGCCGCCTTCTCCCCCGCCGCCCGCGCCCACGCCCTCCCCCGCGGGGCCGTGGCAGTGCCACCAAGGGCCTCTTTAAGCCCCTTTGAAGCCGCGGAGCCCCGCTCCGCGGGAGGCCCCGCCGCTATGCCAGCTATGCCAGCTATGTCCCTGCTGCCGCCGGCCGCCACCGCTCCCCCATTAATGCTGGCTAATCTGGCTAATAAATAAACTCCCCTCCCAGCCCCAGCCCCGCGCCGACTCCCCCCCGCCCCCGCAGAATCGATGTCAGGGCTCGACTAGAGCAAGCGGCCCCACTCCACCTCACTCCCTCGAGATGTAGTTGACGTTTTTTCTTATGGCTGCCCTAGTCTGAGCCCGTCTCTGATTCTCGGGGAGACGTGGGATTTGGGAGGTCTCCGCCTGGCCACTGCGTTTGCCTTCCTCTTTTCCAGTCCACCTGCGCACCAGGGGCAGGGCACGTGGCTGGGTGAAGACGCTGGCCTGGATACGGAGGACTCGCGGGCTGGCAGAGCGCGCGGCGGCGGCGGGAGGAGACGCAGGTCACGCCCCCTTCCCGCCGCCGACGGGGCGCGCGCGCCGAAGAGCCCGGGACAGGTGACTCCTAGAGGACTGCGTCTGCACCTCCCCCGGCGGGAGTCCCTTCTTCGCGGCCTCTGCCGCCCCCTGCGTCCCCTCCTGGGCTTCCGAGAGTCTGACTCAGCCAAGCCGGCATCGCTTCGCCTCCTACAACACACCCCGAGCGCGAGGAAAAATTACAGGATTGCAGGGGCACGGCTAAGGCGCTCTAATTACCCACCGCCGCTGTCATCCGCGGCGCTCCGCGGCGCTGGGCCAACGCGCCGTAATTAGGCCGCCGCTCCCCGGTCCCAGAACCCTCCCTTCGCCACCCCCGACCCACCTCGCGGTCCCCAGGACCACTGGCTGCCGCCTCCTGCCGCCCTCCGGGACTGCCCCTCAGTCCCAAGAGAGCTGTGAGGCCTCACTGGGGGTTAGAACTTGGGGAGACCGAAGCCGGCCCCTCCGCTAAACCTACAGTCCTAGAAGATCTCTGCTGGAAGAGACTGGGAGAGTGGGGAGGGGCCAAGGACCTATTTCGTTGACAGAAACACTGAGGTCTACTGGAAAATTAGTCTTCAGTGGGAGGAGTGGCAAAGGCACGCAGGGCAGCAGTACCCACGTTTGGGCACGGAGAAGGGAAGGGAAGCCCGCCCAGCCAGAACTCCCAGACCCGCTCGTTTAACAGTGGCTTTATGAGCAGCACAACGGGCTCCCTCCCCTGTCAGGGAAATTACCTTCCTGCCAAGAAAGGTGACATCCCCACCACAGACACGGAGGCCCCGCCCGCTGGCCAGCTGTAGCCTGCTGGTCGTAGGGAAGCTGGTGAGGAGTGAGGTGACTCTGGCCTCCCATGTCCGGTAGGGTGAGAGAGGCCCTGAAGATAGAAGCCAGGCCTGAAGGCCAGAATTAAAGGGGTAGCTTGGCCATCAGCTCCTTCCCCAAACCAGGCTCAGAGCTCTTCTCTATCAGGAATTCTTTCCTGAGGTCCAGGGGGTTGCAAAGTCATGGCCTTGGGCCACGTTTTATCTTCAGTGAGGTTTTGTTTGGCTTGCAATGAGTACATAGGTTTTAGGTTGAATGTGAGAGGCTGCAGACAATGTGGGTTCTCCGGCTGCCCTCCCAATGAAGGTGGACCTCTGATTTAGACCAGCCCGCTGGCCTGTGCCTTCATCCTTTTCCTCAGGGCCAGGATCTTATTCCCCCTGATTGCTGCCCCTTTGTGGTCTGCATGTTTCTTGGTAAGCGTGCCCAGTCAAGTGTGTCTGGGAGCCCCCTATTCTCTGTCATGGTCAGGTTTCCCACATGCAGTGGCCGAGGTGGCTGCACATGCTCCCGGATACCCCTCCGGCACTCCCTTTTGTCATCTTGAGTTTCAGTACGTGACTTGGGTGGCACCCTATCTTCTCCAGCAGGGATGGCAGCTATTTTTCTGCCATGAGACTAGAGGTTGGTTGAGAACAGGAAACTGGATCTCTCCCTTCAGACTGGGGTTTCACTAAGAGCTGAGAAGGGGGGAATGTGGGAGGATTATCTTCCATCACAGGGAGCACTCCGAGGGCAAGGCTGTGTCTCCCTCAGTCTGGGGCTCCCTGAAGACAGGGCTGTGTCTCCCTCAGACTGGGGCTCCCTGAGTCATGGCTGTGTCTCCCTCAGACTGGGGCTCCCTGAGGATGGGTCTGTGTCTCCCTCAGACTGGGGATCCCTGAGGACGGGGCTGTGTCTCCTCGCAGTCTGGGGCTCCCTGAGGACAGGGTTGCATTCCCCCCTCAGACTAGGGCTCCCTGAGTCAGGGTTGTATCTCCCCTCAGACTGGGGCTCCCTGAGGGCAGGGCTGTCTCCCCGCTTCAGACTGGGGCCTCCTCCAAAGGACAGGGACTGTGTCTCCCCTGGGACTAGGTTCTTTGTGTCTTCTGCATCTACTGAGATTCTCATGAGGACACAGCTGTGTCTCCCCCTCCATCTGGAGCTCCCTGAAGGCAATGGCCTCTCCCCTCAAATGGGATATTTGCACCCCACCCCACCCTCCGGCTCCCCATGGCGCCCAGGCATTCCTCCCAGGACACCATTTGTCACGCTTTGATGAATGAAACCTACTAAGAATAACTCAGTCCTTGTAGGCTCTGAAGGACAGGGCGAGGGAGAGGGAGGAGGCTGGTGATTGTGGGGGTGCTGGGGGAGGAGGGACACAATCCATGTATTCAATAGCATTTCCCGGGTACCCAGCTGAGCACTGGGGGAAACACAGTGAGTGCCACAGAGCCCCCTACTGTGCCATTTCTGCCACTGACAGCCAGGAGTGTCCACAGGTACCCCTGAGACAGAAAGTTCAGGCCCCTGCTTCACAGCCTCCCCATCCCAGCAGTCACTCCCTCAGGGCCAGCCAGCCCCCTCCATGCCAGTCATGAGCTCCCTCTGCCCCTCCCTTCAGTGGAGGGGAGACTTTGAAATCAGGTGCTTGGGGTGGGGGCGCTGCTCCCAGTGGAGGTGTGAGGAACCCATAGGATGAATCCCTGTCCCCCGCCCTCCCCCTACTCTATTCTTCCTTACCCTGCCCCTTTCCACTCCAAAACCTCAAGCCTCTAGTTCATATTCAAGTGACCTTTCCAGTGCAACTGTTCTCAGGGGGCCCTTGGGAGTCGGGAGGCTGTGACCTTAACCCACTTCTTTGGACGGTGCCTTCCTGGCACTCCGCCCCCACCTGCCACCTCCTGAGAGAAACATTTCGGCCGGTCTTGGCAAAAACATCAGTCTATGATCCAGGCAGCCTGGTGCAGTACCAACTCTGCCACTGACACCACTGTGACCTTGAGAAGCCATTTACACATATGGGCCTCAGTTTCTCCATATGTAAAAATGACTTTTGTTTAGCTTTCCTGATTTTCAAATCTTTTTTTCAAACAATGAATCCTCTTGTTTAAATTGTAACTCATGTGGCACCTCTGTTCTCTGTGGTAACATAGGAAAAAAGTTGGGGTTTCTTTGGTCAAAATAGGGGTGGGCTTCATGTCCCAGCGGTTAGTCCATGACACACGAATGCACACATACGTGTGCATACAGATCAGCTCCCGGGCACTGCACAGTCCACTTCACAAACGTCTGAACTCTGAAATCCTTTCCTGCTCAAACATTCTGGGACCCTGACCGGACTGGGAGCTCTAGAACCAGGGGTGCAAACAGCTGTAAGGAGGAGGCCGTGATTTCGGACCCCTGGGCCCGGGGCTGGGGCTTGAGCCAGCAGGGGTTCCCTTCCACACTTGGGTCCAAAGTCACAGCCTGGGCAAACCCTCACTACCTTTTGTCCTCCCCACCCATCCAAGCCAGAGGTGAGATAGGCTTGTCTGATGCTGAGCCGCCTTAGAGGGGTGGCAGGGGCCAAATGGAGACAGAGTGTCCTTCCTCGGTGGGGAGGAGGCAGCAGGTTGGGTGGCAGGCTCTGGGATCTCATCTCTGGAATCCCTCTCACATGCCTCGGAGGAGGGTCAGAGTGGTAGGGCAGGAGGGCCAGCAGCACCCTGCAGTGGCTGAGCGCTGGGGGCTGATCCCAGGAAGCCCAAGGCGGGCAGCATAGGTAGAGGAGACTCAGGGAGCTGCACCACTCCATCCACAAGTGTGAGAATTTGGTACCAACAGGGAACGCGGGTAGGACAGGACCCATCAGACACTGGTGACAGGAAGGCAAGAGTGAAGAGAGGAGCAGATACAGCCCAGGGAAAAAAACAAGTCACCAATAAGAGGCAGGCCTAGGCCTGGGCTCCGAGCTTGGGGCAGCAGGGCAGATCCCTTCAAGGGAGAAACCACAGATGTGCCCCAGCCTCTCCTTGATGCTGTGAGCCAGGGGTGCTTAAAGGGGCTCATGTTCAGCTTCAAATGCCCAGGGTCACCACAAAGGAGGTGCTGCCCCTTCCCCTGCACCCCAAGCAACCTGCATCTGCATGGCCCTGGAGAGGCCATTGCTCCTGATTTCCCTTAGGCAACATGGCGGGGAGCTGCTGTGAGAGTCTTCTCCAAGTCCCCACCTCCCTGAGATGCACCATGAGGGAAGGGAAGAGATGTCTCACGGACTTCTAGCCCTCCATCGCAAACAGAGACACACACACAAACACTCTCTCTCTCTCTCTGTCTCTCTCTCTCTCTCTCTGTCTGTCTCTCTGTCTCTCTCTCTCTCTCTCTCTCTCTCTCTCTCTCTCTCTCTCTCTCTGGCATTTGTCCCCAGGGAGTGCCTAGAGACTCCACAGCCTTGGCCCTGGAAACCCCTAGGCAGCCACTGTGTTGCCAGGCACGTCTCTGGGCACTGAGGCTGCAGCAATGAAAAAGTCAGCCAAGTCCCCTGCCTTCATGGCGCTCACATTCTAGGCAGGAAAGACAGATGATCAACAAGTGAAAAAATCATGAAGCTCAGGTCATGGTGTGGCAAGTATTAGAGTTGAGAGTGATCGGGTGGGGTGGGGGCGCTGTTTTATATGGGGTGGTCCAAAAATATCTGTGTGAGGTGGTGACATTTGAGTGGAAACCTGGACAGCAAGAAGCCAGTTGTGCTTTGAGGTCAAAAGGACTCCGAAATTTTAGTTTTTTAAACAGAAAAGATGTGTTTACCCGTAAACATTAAAGGGCAGGAAAATTAGAACTATGCTTCTGGAGCACCTATTATATGTCTAGCACCGTATTGGAAAATTCATAGACATCATTTCCCATCGCCCTCTTCAGAACCCTCTGTGTCAAATCGCATTATTTTCATTCTACAGATATCAAATGGGAAATCCATAGAGATTATTTCATGCGTTTAATAAGATTTATTGAGTATTCACCTCTGAAAACGCTGTAAAAAATCCCATATGGACCCTGCCCTCCTAGAGCCTACAGTCGGAGAGCGAGAAGCGTCAGGGAGGGCTTCCTGGAGGAGCCAATGTCTAAACTGAGCCCGAAAGGATGAAGAGCGGGTGACAGTTGAAGTGAGTTGGCAGGGCCAGGATTTTAGGCAGAAGGAGCA